AATTGCTTTCCATAATTTTCCCTGACTATCTTTTTAGACCGATGAATATTTATGAGAGTTTCTTAAATAATAGAATTTTTAAAAAGTAATAACATTTTTAATTCGTTTATCAATACAAAATTGTTACAAAATAAAATCCTATGTTTCCCTTGAAAATATCCACCAGTGGACAAAAGGCGTTGGCTAAAATATTTTTTTCTTTTGTCCTGATTTTTAAATTCCTTTTACATATAATATAATTTTATTTATATCTAAAATTTAACAAACACACACACACACACACACACACACACTGCGACAAATTTTGCCATAGAATTGGCATACCCGATCAGTTTGTGTTTACAGTGACATTATTCGGGTGCACACTAGGTTTTGCACATTTACGCAAATGGCTTTTGAAGCTGACAAAAGATAGGCACAATTTTCCGCATATATCACAATTAACGGGGTGAATTTGTGGACCTGGTGCTGGACCCTGTTCACCTTTACGAATCCGACGTTTGTAGGCACTGTACTGCATACGGCTATTCTCAAAGGAGTCAATGCTTTCGTGAATTAGTTTCCGACACTTACTTCTATCGAAAGCCATTTTTCCCATTGGCCTACCAATAGTCCAGATTGTTTCAGATAAGATTTTATTGTGTCCTTAAATCTCTTCTTCGGCTTTGGTGTATTTCTCTTTCCTTCCCACATTTCACCATAGAACAGCCGTTTTGGTAGACGACTGTCATCCATACGCGCAATGTGACCGACCCATCGGAAACAATTTTTCATTACCATCGACTGAATGCTTGGTAGCCCTGCTTTCTCTAATACTTCTGTATCTGAGACATGGGACTGCCATGTGATATGAAGTATCTGTCTCAAACACCGTTGATGGAAGCCTTCAAGAAGTTTTAGTTGATGTTTATAGAGTGTCCATGTTTCGCTTGCATACAGGAGGGCCGTCAAAACACATACTTTGTACACAATGATTTTCGTATGTAACTTGATACCATGCTGGGACCACACGTTTTTAAGTGCTGAAAAAGACCAAAAGCCCTTTTAATGCGGAAAGAGATTTCTCTGTTGAGGCTGCATCCTTCAGAGAGGGTACTGCCAAGATATGCAAAAGAATGTACTGCGTCTAATTTATTTCCTTCAACGAAGATAGTTGGTTCCATATAGAGTGATCCGGGTGCTGGATCATACATGACGACTGTCTTTTTTGGTTGATCCTTAAACCGAATGAGTTACATGCAGATACAAAATGGTTCATAAAGCATTGCAGCTCATCTTCAGAATGTGCAACGATGTCACAGTCATCCGCGGAGAGCAGCTCCCACACCAATGAGGAAGAGACTTTTGTTTGAGAAAGCAGTCTACGGACATTATATACACTGCCAGATGTCCGATATCTGATGTAAATACCGTTTGCGTTTTCATAGAAGGCCACGAGAAAGACTATGGCGAAGTAGATATTGAATAACATGGGTGAAGAAATGTCACCCTGTTTGACGCCATTGTTTATAGGTATATCTTCAGATAGAGTGCCGTTAAAGCTAACTCTAGCCTTCATTCCGCCATGAAGAGAACGAATCAGACCCACAAATTTCTTAGGGCAGCCCAGCTTTGATAAGATCTTCCAAAGAGTTGATCTGTTTACGGTGTCAAATGCTTTTGATAAGTCAATGAAACACTGGTACAACGGAAGATTTTGTTCTTTGCACTTCTCTTGCAATTGCCGAGCAATGAAAATCATATCCACAGTGCGGTGGCTTGCACGGAAACCACACTGAGATTCTGGTAGTATTCCATTGACGATTGTGTGGACTAATCTATTTAAAATAATCCTTGAAAAAACCTTTCCAACAGTAGACAGCAAAGATATACCCCTAAAATTGCCGCAGTCCGACCTGGAACCCTTCTTATACAAAGACACAAGTATTGCATCTCTCCAGTCTTGAGGTATTTCACTTCCCCCATGCATTTTGGATGACTTGCTCCAAGAGATCGATCATTCTCTCACCGCCATTCTTTAGAATCTCTACTGTTATACCATCCATTCCTGGCGCTTTGTTGTTTTTTATTTGACTCACAGAAGCTTCTATCTTACCTCTGGAAGGTACTTCATCAAGAGCCATAATTGGCTCGTGTTGCTTAATGAGATTTAGTACAGATTCATCAACGACTGGATGGCGATTAAGGAGTTCGCTATAATGTTCACACCATCGTTTCTTGATATCCTCTGGTTGTCTCAATATGGTACCGTCTTTTGATTTGAGAGGAGCTAAAGTTGATTGCTGCGGACCATAGAGCGCTTTGATTATTTGGTAAAACAATCTTGAGTTTTTACTGCTTGCTGCAAGTTGTGCCTCTTCTGCTTTCTTGGGCCATCACTGGTTTTGGATTTCACGCATACGTGCCACTTTTTAAAAATCCTTGTATGTTTTTGTAGCTTTCATTTATATATATATATATATATATATATATATATATATATATATATATATATATATATATATATATATATATATATATATTTTCTGTTTACTATATATATATATATATATATATATATATATATATATATATATATATATATCACCTTTATATACCCAAATATTTATTTATATATATATATATATATATATCAACCCTCACCGATAAACGACTCGGAGTTTTATACACAACGCAATCTTCAGGATGGCTGTTATGTAATTTCAACTTTAATGTTGGATATATATATATATATATATATATATATATATATATATATATATATATATATATATATATTATACTGGGATAACAGTTATTTGTTTTCCTTTTTAAAAGTTATATTTGTAATTCAACATAAATGGGATTTCCATATATACGTGTAAGGAGAAAACTAAACAAATATTTGAAGTTCTGAATATTAATTTTTTCTCATTATTAAAGGAAGATTATATATATATATAAATTAGATCAGAAAAATTAAAAACCTTTTTCACTTTCTGCAACAATTTCCACGATACAATTAAATTTACCATGGAGCACTCATACACATCTGTCCCTTTTTTAGACGTTATGATAAAATTAAACAAACATACACTTTCTACCAGTCTATACAATAAACCCAACATAAATTCCTGCACTTTAACAGCTGTCATCCCTTTAAATTAAAAAAATCTATTGTATACAGCTCATTTCTAAGAATCAAACGCATATGCTCAGACCATTTAGATTTTCTATACAACATTAATAACTTAACAAAACAATTCCTAAAATGTAAATACCCAATAAAAATAATAAAAGAAACACTAAATAAAACTATCCTGATAAATCGTAACACACTTTTCACATACAAGAAAAATAAAAACAACAATCGGATTCCCATAGTTTTTAACCACAATCAATATTCCCACACACTTATTCACAGTTTAAAAAAGGATTACAAGAATCTCCAGTTAGACAAAAAGATCAAAGACATTTTCGATAAACCACCATAAATGCAAAGAAACAATCACCTAACCTATCAGCTATCCTCACCTCTACCAAATATCTAAACAATACAAACCAGTCAGGAAATTACAAATGTAACAAACCTCGTTGCTTAGTTTGCAAACATTTAATAATAGATAATATATTTTCTGTACCCAACACCAATATCAAGATACAGCCATTTCACCTCACCTACGATAGTCATAACGTAATCTATTATTTATTCTGCAACTTATGTCCTAATAGTGGATATATTGGTGAATCTGGAAATAATTTTAGATTTCGTTTCAATAACCATAAACAAACAATACGTCAAAACAACCCTTATTCCCCCATAGCTAAACACTTCAATCAATCAGGACACACATTAGAAAACTGCAAATGTTTATTGATAGATTCCGATTTTAATTCCACATACACACGCAGAAAAAAAGAAACATATTGGATTTTAAAATTAAATACACATAAACTAGGGTTGAATAGGGACTTAGGTGTTTTAAATCTTTATAAATATTTCAATAGTTAAGCAATTTTTTTAGATATAGTTAAAAAAATTTTTAAACAACATTTAAAATATTTATGACAGTTAGATTTAAGTTAGGAATATCCGAACAGTGACGTTCCATATCACATGACGTCCGTGTCTCGCAAAGGACGCTACTTGCTAACAAACAGTAATTTTAATTTATTTGTAACAAACAGTTATTTCTGATGAAAGATTGAGGACAATTTGAAATATCAAATATATATATAAATAAATAAATACTTTCATAAAATAAAACATTATTATTTTTTAATTTGAAACTTTTTCTATATATACATATTAAGAAAGTATACGTGGCTTCTCATTATGCTATATATATATATATATATATATATATATATATATATATATATATATATACATATATATATAAACAAAAACAAACTGTAATATAGCTAAAAATTAAACCATACTTTATATTAAAAATTAAGCTGGATCAACAAATTTCAGCAGATATTTTTTTTTATAGTTAAATGTTACAATCAATTCTTTTCTCTTGTTTATGTAGCTATATATATATATATATATATATATATATATATATAAAAAAACAGACCACTTTAAGGTTCCATTATAATAATTTATTTCACCACAGCCCTCTCAGGATTTCATCCTCCTTGGGACTACCCATACGGATTACCAAGTTTTTATAACTATATATATATATAGTAAAGATTAACACTTTGTAATCAAACGCCGTACTTGTTTTAATCATTTAACCGCAAATAAAGCAATAAAGCCACTAGGATACAGGTAGTTCTCTCTTCTTAATTCTTGTTCTTTTATTATCCTCGTTCTTTAAGGCTTTTTCTGATATTCCCTAACACTCAGTAACCAAAGTAAGTCATGTTCATCTTCATTATATAAATATATATATATATATATATGGGAGAAAATGATATGTGACCAAAAGAACACACGATATGCATCAATTATCGTAATCATTTGAATCAAAATTTCGATGTAATAAAAAAGAAAAAAAGCAATTTACAACAACGAAAGAAACGATAGATAGATAGATAGATAGATAGATAGATAGATAGATAGATGAATAGATATGAACATATTAGGACAGATAGATTGATAGACGGATATATAGATAGATATGAACATAGATAGATAGATAGATGGATAGATAGATAGATAGATATGAACAGACTATGATAGATAGATAGATACATAGATAGAAAATTAATTGAATTAGATAGATAGATAGATAGATAGATCATCCACACCAAATTTACGTTCAGATGCGTAGAATATTCCACCTTTGTTGGCTAATCTTCTATTATCACAATAGACGTTACTTTAATAAGAAACGTGACAAAACTATAAACAAACTGAATCCAAATGAAAATTGGCTTATCGAAACCCATATTAAAAATAAATTTAAAAGTTTAAAATGTCAGCATCAACTCTCCTTCGTTGTGCATCTGTTGATGCACCAACATAAACAGAACTTTAATCCGATGATATCCGATCTTATCTGATGATATTCGGTTTAATCTGCTGATACCCTGAAGACCGAAACGGGTCGCACGAAAAATAATTTTTCGCTTTTGTTATTAATTTTCTTAACAATATATATTATATATATATATATATATATATATATATATATATATATATATATATATATATATATACACACACATATATATATATATATATATATATATATATATATATATATATATATATATATATATATATATATATATATATATATATATATATATTATATATATTACGTTGCAGTTTTTATTTTGTTTCTATAATTTTCGAACACTGGGGAAAAACTATTGCAAAACAGTCACTTTCAGTTGAATGTATTAAAAAGAACTTGCTTGATCAACAGATAAATAATTATATCTATCTATATATATATATCTATATATATATATATATATATATATATATATATATATATATATATATATAAGGAACATAGAAGTCAACACTTGGAGGCGACAGTCTGTTTCATGCTATATGCAATCGTCTGGCCACGTGTGCTGTTATTTTTCTCTGCTATACATATATATATACGGTTCAGTGGTGCATTGTGGGTAGTCTATTTTGGCGGTTATTTTACCGGAAGTCGTTTATTTATTTGGGTTAAATTATTTTGCTTGTTTGTTTTTTTTTTTGTTTTTGTTTTTTTTTTAATTGGTGTTTTTATTAACGTCGTAAAAAATTGTTTATATCACTTATTTAATAGTTTTGTTTTGGTTTGAGAATTTAATTAAAGCTATTTGTTCGGTTTTGGGGTTGATTGTTGTAGTTTATTCTAACTGTTATTTTGGCAGGAACAGTTTTAATTTCTGTTTATTTGGGTTGATTATCTTTATTTTTTTTCTAACGGTAACTTTATCAGGGGTTGGTTTGTTTATTTATTTACTTGGGTGAATTTAGGTCATTTTATTTTACTTGTATATTTTCTCTTTTCGGTTTTCGATTTTTAAATAACGCAGCATTTTTTTTTTTTTTTTTTTTTTCATTTTTTTATCGTTTTATAACAGTAATAGCTTTTTTTCGTCCGATTTTTTGGTTTGACTTTTAAGTCTAACTAATATTTTTGTCATAATGATTTGTTCTTTTTATTATCCTCGCTCTTTAAGGCTTTTTCTGATATTCTCTAACACTCAGTAACCAAAAGTAAGTCATGTTCATCTTCATCATATATATATATATATATATATATATATATATATATATATATATATATATATATGATAAAATGATATGACCAAAAGAACACACAGTATGCATCAATTATCGTAATCATTTGAATCATAATTTCGATGTAATAAAAAGAAAAAAAAAGCAATTTACAACAACGAAAGAAACGATAGATAGATAAACTTTGTTTATTATTTACTTTATTTATTTAGGTTCGTTTTTCTTTGTTTTGTTTTTTTTGTTTTTTTTATTATTATTATTATTCTATTTCGTCTATTCTAACAGGTGTGATTTGGTAATTTGTTTAGATTAATTAATTTTGCTTATTTTATTGTTATTAAAAATAAATAAATAAAATAAGAAACAAAAAATAAAAATAAATAAAAAAACAAGCAAAACAATTTAGCCCAAATAAATAAATAAACAACTTCCGGTAAAATAACCGCCATAATAGACTACCCACAATGCACCACTGACCCGTATATATATAAATAGCAGAGAAAAATAACAGCACACGTGTCCTAACGATTGCATATAGCATGAAACAGACTATCGCCTCTAAGTGTTGACTTCTATGTTCACTTTTATATTTACACACGCTCTATCTCTGATATTGAGCACTTTATCCCATAAATATAGCACTATTACTATATTTCTTCATATATATATATATATATATATATATATATATATATATATATATATATATATATATATATGAAAATGTCAGAAAAGTTTTCTTGCTTTACATCCACCCATGTTTGTGTCTTGAAGTAAATTTGAAAATACTATAAAAAATTTTTATGTAATGAAAAAATTGTTTTCATATATATATATATATATACGTATATATATATATATATATATATATATATATATATATATATATATATATATATATATATATATATATATATATATATATATATATATATACACCATTCACAAGTAGCTGTCCTGACAAGACCGTAAGGTCGAAAAAAGGCGGATTGTGATTTGCGCGTAATTTCTTCTGATCTGTTAGAATTATGATATATATATATATATATATATATATATATATATATATATATATATATATATATATATATATATACAAACGCAGTACAAATCCAAAAGTACGATTTAAGTTAGAAGGTTACTAAATTGGGATATTCTATTGTTTTATAAGGGGAAAATGGTTGCATCTAATGATAGATAGATAGATAGATAGATAGATAGATAGATAGATAGATAGATAGATAGATATGAACACGCTTAGAAAGCTAGAGTGAGGAGATTAAAATGAATACGCTTAATTAGATAGATAGACAGATAGACAAACAGATGGATCTATATATGCTAAAAAGTTCCCTACCCCACAAGATGGGATTATATATATGCTGGAGTTTCGCAGATATGCTATATGTTCTTCAGGAGACTTGCTGTTAAACTCAATTTACTAACAAAAACCACATATTTCTTTATAGACACTACTTTTTTTACTTACAGTGATATATAAAACTATGGAAATGATAAAGATTTTCATTTAATTCTATTTACTTTTCGAAAAATTTTCTCGTTTCCATGCAAAGTCTTAACATTATCTTGAGTTGACGCATTATTTATACTTATGTTCTCGGCCAAATATTCATATAAAAAAAATCTACGAAATCTTTCTGTGTATAGAACTTTTCAGATCACTTTATCTCGCAATACTCAAAGCATCATAACCCTCACTGATTTCTTCATGTCAAATTACGTGTGAGTCTCGCGTGTTATCTCGCGTGATGTCTCGCATTCAGTTTTAATCTGCCATTTTGTTTTTCTGTTTCCTTCCTCCGCGTTTCTTTTGAGTTGACGATTTATTTTTTTCATAGTCCTCTCTTTGTTTTAATTTCTATTTTTCTTTTCTCTTTTCAGTCCGTCATGGTTTTTTTCTACTCGAGAAAAATGATTTTTTCTTTCCCATATTCGCTGTTCCATTTGTTTGTCATAGTTTCCTCTTTCTTTCATTCGTCATTATTTTCTTCTACTTGTAATTTTCTCTTTCATTTTTCCTATTGTTTTTGTTCAATCCACTTTCAACTTCATTCATTTTTTTTTAATTCAATTCTGCTTTGCTATCTTTTTCCAATTTCTTTCAATTTTTTCGTTCGTTTTTCTTTCGTTTTACAAAAGTTCCAATGTATCATGTCATTGTAAAAGATCATTCCCGATTTTCATTGTTAATATAAAATTACCTCGACACTAGAGTTTGTTGTGTGTTCTAGATTGAAACCTTGCATCATTCAGTTGCAAGTCAGACTTTGTTGAACGTTGGAGTTTTGTCTGCAAATGAATGGCTTAAAGATGGTAGATGAAAAGTAGCAGTTTCACCATATAAGGCTATATCAATTTCGTAACGGAGTAAGCGTCGAGTTTTGGGTTTTTTTTTCTTTTTTGGGTTTTTTTTATAAGCATTTCACCCCAAAGCAAGACTGGAAGCCACTAGCACGCAAGGGTTTTACATAGGATTTGGAGCGAGAGCAAATAGGAGTGATAGAGGAAAGGATGAAGAGAAGGATAGTGGATAGATCAAGGCAATTGGAGATGTCGATTAACATTACATTTGAATAGTTGGAGATTATAGCTATCGGGGAAACAGGAATAGGGAAGAGTGTTCCACAGGCGAGAGGTGCGAGATATGAAGCTGTTGGAGTAGAAGAGACGGCTAAATTTAACAGTTTCGACAGTGAAAGGGTGAGAGCGAGACGCCAGCCTCGTAGGGCGTTTGAATTCATGAAGCCTGGGAATCAGCGAAAACAGCCCTCGGAACAATTTCCATGAAAGTATCTGTAAAAAATACAAAGAGAAGCGACGGCACGTCTGTGAGAGAGAGACAGCAGACGAGATACCAGATCAGGGCCAATTGCATTGCATATCCGTCTCTGGATCTTGTCAAGAACTCCGCGGTAAACAGAAGGGGCTTCAGACCATATATGGCAGCAATACTCCATGCAAGGGCGAATGGTTGATTTGTAGATTTGAAGGATCGATTCCGGGGAGAAAAATTTCCTAGCGCGGCACAAGGAGCCAACTTTCCTTGCGGTGGACGAAACAATTGACTCAATGGATTTGTTCCATCTCAGGTCAGCAGTCAACATGAGACCGACCAGCCGCAGAGAGGTGCTCTCGAGAAGTTGAGCGTCAGACATTCTAATGGAGGGCAGGGAAGGATCTCTGTAGTGATTAATAAAGAGCGGGGTTTTTTTTGAGGAGTTAAAGTTGACCAGCCAATTTTTGCCCGAGTTCACAACCGATTGGAGGTCCTTTTCGAGACGAACAGCCAGGTTAGTTTTTGCAACAAAAAAACATCCATTCAATTTATTTGAATCGGGTTCCAGTATTCGTACGGTCAAAAATACTTTGGCATGTTTCGCCATGATGGTTTTCATCGAAAAATTCAATAACGATCTGGGCAAACTTCAGCAGAGGTGTTTATTAAAAGTTTGTTGAAAACAGATATCTCAACTGACTTCCGCCATTTAAAGAGATTTTGTACAAAAAAAAAAACATAGATTTTGGCAAA